TTACTGCAAGTCATCAGAAAAGTTAGCCATGAGAAATATAATTTAGAACTAAAGACTATCATCACTTTTCAGATAACTTATAAAAAAAAAAAACTTTTAAGTACAGTATCAATCAGGGTTCTTAGTTACAACAACAGAAATCGATTCTAGCTAACTTAACCAAAAACTAGGTTGCTTAAATGTTATTAGTTTATTCATAGAATTGATGGGAAGGCTGGACACCTGAGCTTGGACTGGGCAGCAGGAAAAACCTGGCTAGAATGCTGTCTCTGTTTGTGCCAGACACAGCTACTATTACAAGAATACTGACTCTACAGGGGTCCTAATCTCCCCTTCCTTTCATTATTGTTATTTAGTCTCAAATCTTGAATACATGTCTTTTTTAATATTACATGAGATGAAATAAAAAATACACTTGAAGTAATTGTGTTGCATACTGAAATACGATGTTGCCTCAAGGAAAAATATTTGTGCAATTTTTGAGTCACAAGCCGTACTCATTGCAAGAATGAATGACAAACTATGGTTATTCAGACTTGAGTATTTGCCAGACATTTTCTTGGAAATAAATAAAATGAGTTTGTCATTTCAAGGAAAACAACTTACAGTATTTCTTGCCTGTGATAAAAATCTGAGCTTTCAGGTGAAAATTAGAACTCTAGAATATCTGTATCTGTCACGGTGAGCTTGACAGCTTCCCAATGCTCAAACCCTTCTGATGAGATCATTAGTGATATTAATGAAATGTGATTTTTAAAAATATTGTATAGTAAATGTGTCAACAACTGGAAGATCTGCATAACTCAGTGAATCAATATTTTCCAAATGATTAATGTTATAACCATGATGTTACAAAATAAGTTATGGGTAAAAAATTCATTCAAAGTGCAAGATAAAAACTAATGCATTTTAATGTAACAATAAGAAAAGTTCATTGATATACTTTCAGATTCTACTTTGCAACTAACTACATAAGAAAATACCATTTGCTGGGGGGCTGGGTGAAAAAGTAAAGGAATAAAGTACAAATCAGTAGTTAAATAACAGTCTCGGGGATGTAGAGTATGGTATAGGGAATATAGTCAAAAATACTGTAATAACTACATATTGTGCCAGGTGGGTACTAGACTAATCGGGGGATCACTTCATAAATTATGTAAATGTCTAAACACTGTACCTGAAACTAATATAAAAAATAAGAAATAAAATACCATTTGCTGAGTTTTGTTATAGTATCAGAACAGAATATCCAAAATTATCTGAAAAAGCTACTAAAATACTTATCCCTTTTCCAACTACATATTTGTATGATGCTAGACTTTCCTGGTATACTTTAACCAAAAGTAAATCACAATAAATTGAATATGGAAAAGGTGTAAGAAACCACTTGTTTTTTATTAAGCTAGACATTAAAGAGATTTGCAAAAAATGTAAAACAATGCCACTCTCAGCATTTCCGGTACCCAGATTTTGGTTTCAAATATCATTTATTTAATAAAAGGAACCAAGGTTCCTTGGAGAAATGGCTGCTTCTACGGCTGAGGTAGGAAATATACAAGAATCTCATAGTGCCAGAAAGTAAAAAAAGTGCTTCAAATAAACAAACAAACAAACAAACATTATAGTGGGAGTATGTGAAAGGGACATAGGACCCAAAAGGAAAAAAAGTTGGGTAAATAAATGGGAGATCTGAGACAAATCTGTGCAGAATTTATATAGCTACTCTACCTTCAAGGAGATGTAGCATA